CTGCTCCAAACACAAGATGCAGTTTGAAAAGGGCCCACCGCCGCGGTGGCAGTGACTAACCCCAAACTACCACTGTGCCCTAGGACTCAGCGGTCTGATGGCTGTGCTAAGCAGCTAGCAGCAGCCACAGCAGCCTGAGCTGGGAACACCACGCAGCAGGTCTCACCCTCACCTAAAGAGCCACTCAGCATGTGCCTTAGACACCAGCGGGCACAAAGGGGAAGAGACACTACGCTGGGGCGTACGCATGGCGCCTTTCCAACAGCAAGCCTGATCCGCACCCACGCATGGAGTGCCCAAGACACACACGTGTGCCCCTCCATCGGTCCTGCTTCGGGAACCCACTGGAGGAAGAAAAGGGGGCAATGGAGAGCAGACAAGTAGCCACAGCAGAACCATTAGCAAGGACAAGAACAAACCTGCATTTCCATTATAGACATAAGGTCCTGCCACTGCTGCTCCAGGTCGAACGGGGACTCAGTCTCGGTCAGCAGAGGAGACAGGAGGCCGTTCTGGAGAGCTGGAGAGACGCTTCCACTAGGCACAGCTTCGTTTAGGTGGGAGGCATCTGCAGCTGGAAACTAAACACAAAGCAACTGTCAGCCACATCTGGTCTGCCGAGGAGAGGCAGGTCAGGGACGCCTTGAGCGGGTCTTTAGCAGCAGCTAGCTCTAGTCTGAATTTCTCCTACAGTTCACTGCAAACTAATTAGAAACAGACTCAGAAACCCTTAATTAATTGTGACCATCTTCCCCATTGGCTGCTTCCCACGAGCTGTGCCTGAGCTTTCTTAGACAATTAACCCAATCTGCTGCCTGTTTCATGGTCTCAGGTGCAGTCTTAAATGGGAGGCAAAAGGCATCAAATCCCAACTCAGCACTAAGAACGGGCTCTGGGTGGTGACACTTGAGTGACGAGTGGAGAAGGGGTTTCCACCTTCCCACTCACCTCCGAGTTCTCCCCGAACGGGAAGCTGGCTTCCAGCAGCCTAAGGCACTCCTCCAGCGACAGGGCCGTCTGATCCTCCACGCCCGCCACCTGGGACAACAAATCATTTCAGCAGAGTTTACTGAAGGGCGGGAATCTCCCGAAAGGGGGGGGGGGGGGAGGTGTTTCTGAACCAAGGACATCAGAGTCCCGGGGCTTAGCACGTTCTTCAGAGAGAGTCCAGATAACCAGAGCCTCCAGCACTTTGGCCTCAAGTTGCATCCTCCTAGCCAGACAGCACCTGCCACAGCTTTCTGAAGCTAGCCAACGGTGCATGTCCTGTTCTGTGGTAGTGACCCTGGAGCCTCCAGCCTGCTTCCCGGCAGCAGACAATCAGGGTGCCAACAACTTCCTGGTTTTTCCCCTAATTCGCCTCTGTGTTCCGAAGTTCTCTCTAGGCTGGGTGTCATACTGTCCTCCAACATCCCACAATGCCATGCAAATTGGCAGGGGGGGGGCCATCAGCCAGAATGGAAGGAAGAAGGGACACCACTCAGTGCCGCTCCTAAGAGCCTGCCAGCGGATGGTTCGTGCCCTTCCCCTGCCCAACGGCAGACATCCCGGAACACTGCAGTACAGCCCTGCTCGGGAGGCTGTTACCTGTGCAGGGAAACTCTCCCCCGTCTCTCCATCAACTAGCACGTTTCTCTCCACCGTCTCATTCCCGCCGCTCCTCCAGCTGTCCCCAGGCTCCCTCCCATCGCTCGGTTCTTTGTCCACGTCGCTCTCCTTCTGGCGATGGCTGTAGTCAAAAATCTCTCGCCCAGCGCCCAGATCAATATCCTGTCTCCACAGGATGTCAATCAAATCGATGTCCTGAAAGACACATAAGATTTTCCTTCAGCACTCAGTGGATCCATCTACACCCCACCATGGAGGGAAGACCCTCGTCTCCCCTTGTCCCCCAAGTGCTGCAGCACAAAGTCAACCTCCCCTGGCCAACACCCCTCCCAGCCCACCCCGCAACGCTGCCGTTCCACCACAGCGAGCCCTCCCACACCACTCCCACCCACATGTGGCACAAGGGCCCGTCCCCCCCTCCCGGAGCACCTTCCGCAGCAGTTTCTTTCACATCCCCCCGCCTCCATCATCACTCACTCCACAGCCCAGTCCTTCACTCCTGCCCTGCACAGAGGCCAGCGGCCACGCCGGCTTTGCACAAGAGCCAATGGTCATTCTGCCCTGCTAGGTCTCTAAACAGTGTGCAAAGGAGCCAGGCTGGAGAGAGAACAGAACTCCATTGGAAAGCGACTTCCGCTGTCTCCTCCCTGCTCCCCGTGGGCTCCTCCCAAGTCAGGCAAAAGGAGCCTGCAGCTTTAACAGCGCTGGGCTGCCCGGCTGGCGAGGGCCAATTGTCAGGCAGGATTGCTGCTCCACGGAGGAGCTTGCATCAGCCTATGGTGCCATTCTTCCCATTTGCATAAAGGGGTGGAGAGCACTGGAGAGGAAAAACCCTGCATTCCCAGCCACCTGATGCAACTTGAGCTCCCCGCTGCCTGCTCACCACGGAGATGCCAGCCCTGCCCAGCCCCTTCCCACAGAAAGCCCCCGCTCTGCCGCTCCTTTAAGCCCCTTCTGGGAACTCGGTCAGGTCCCCTCCCGCTACAGCCATGCAAAGAATCTGTGTCCCTGAGCGTACTGGGACACGCCTGTCGCCACCCACCTGCTCCCTAGCATCAGCGGAAGCCCGACCCCAAACTCCAGGTCCCTAACCCCATAACGTCAGGAATCTCTTCACAGCCACTGCTACCCACAAACCCCTCCCTCCAATGCCAGCCCACACCGACGCAGAAACCCATGCTGGCTCCACCCGCAGGGGCCTGTGAGTAGGACTCGGAGCCCCCAGGCCCTCCCCTGGAGTTAACACCTAACCCTGGGCAGGGCAGATTCCTCCCCAGCTTGCATCCCCCCCACCACAGCCCAGTGGTTTGGTTTAGTGAAAAATGACGGCAGTCGCATACTGCACAGTTTACTGGGGAGTCCTTAGCATCCCTCTCCACGGCTGCCCCTTAACGATTCTCCCCCTCCCTACAGAGGCCATCACATTTTGGACTTACAAAAATGGACCAGAGAAAACCAGACTGCCCCCCTCCGACTCCAGGGACCAACCAGACGCCCGAGGTACCAGCGGCTTGCGAGGCCAATGTTACCAGACACCATGTATGTACTGAGGGACAGCATCCCAATGCTACCGAGGGACCATCCCCCACCCCCTTTCTCCAAAGACCAGCCCAAATGTCACCACCACATCAGCCTCCCCAAGGACCCTCTCAGATGACCCTCACTCCCATCCTGAGCCAGACTTCCTAGGTCTCTCCCCACCATGTCTGCCTCGCCCGGAGCAGCGTGCGACGCTGGGGCAATGCAAGAGTTAAGGCGAGGGATACCTTTTTCATGTCCCCAGCTGCTGCTCATGGAGCTGTCCATGCAGATCATGGTCTATGTGGGGCGAATTCCAGGAAGGCAGAGCTGAGAGACCCGGGCGTGATGCCGCACAGACATCTCCGAGTTCGGTAACTGAGCTGGCTTTGGCAGGCTGGACCCCAGGTTGTTTGGAAGCCCCCTAACGACATGTGATCCACAGGTGCTGTGCTTCAGCCGGCCAGCCAGCCCTCCGCCCCCTCCTCCTTCCCCGAGCCGGAGATCCAATAATCTGCCCGGCTTGTTGCTTAGGCAGGAAT